CTACTGTGTTTTTCTTGTTGTTTTTCGTTTTTTATTTTCTTTTTCTTTTTTCTTTCTATTTTCATGTTTTTCTGTCTTTTCTTTTGTTTCTTTTTTTGTCTTTTTCTTTCTTTCATTTATTCTTTTCTGTATTTTTCTGTTTTTGTTTTTCCTTTTTGTTTTCCTTCTTTTCTGTCTTTGTATTTTTTCTTTCGTTCTTTTTCTTTTTTCATTCTTTAGTTTTTAGTTTTTCTTTCTTTCTTTCATTCATTCTTTCGTTTTTTCTGTCTTTTTCCGTTCTTTTGTTTGTTTCTTTCTTTCCTTTTTTTGTCTTTAGTTCTTTAATTTTTCTGTCTTTTTTGTATTTTTTCTTTTGTTCGTTTTCTTTCATTCTTTTGTTCTCTTTTCTTTTTTGTATTTCTTTCGTTCTTTCTCTTTAGTTTTTTCTGTCTTTTTTTTGTATTTTTTCTTTCATTCTTTAGTTTTTTCGTCTTTTTCTTTGCTTTTCTTTCTTCCTTCCTTCCGTAAGAACGTTTCCCTTTCCATTTTAACCTGTAAAGTGGTCTGGTTTGCAGAACCCTGGAGCCTCTGACCGGTCTGAGGACTTCCCGCTGATCTCTGCTGTGACCAAAGACGGTGAGCTGGAAACGGCTCCTTTTCGTGATGAAAGAAGAGAGTCTACTCTTTCTTGTAATTTGAGGCGGGTCGGTGCTTTAACTGATGATTAACGCCATGTTTCCCTCACAGTGGTGTGTCCCGATAAGAAGTCGGCCTGTCCCGATGAGACCACCTGCTGCCAGCTGACCAGTGAAACCTACGGATGCTGTCCTCTGCCGCACGTAAGAGGCCTAAAGACGGTTTACTTTCAGTTTCCACCCACTGCACTTTAAAGCAAAAACTCCCAGAACTTGGGTCGGTATTCCTATTAAAAGGTAAATATATCTCACAGCCTTTAATAATTCACACATTGATATAGTATTTTGTATCCACGGAAAGGTCAGAAGTTCATAAAAACATGTTTATGTACGACCAAACGCAGCTGAACCAGCAGCAAAAGAACAGAAATGAAGGAAACGGCCTCAGAAATCCTGCCTTACCTTTGCTGTCCTGTAACTTTGCACTGATAACGTCCACACGTTGTTTCATTCAGTTTCTGGATTTAAATTGGTTATTTTTAAAGTTGCCGCTTCCACCTGAAAGGTTTTAGCTTTGGCCTGATCCAGAGATAGTTTAAACAGTTTTGAAGACAAATTTTCTATTAAATTTTTTTTTCTATTTGATCCATTTTATCCTTCAGTGTGCAGCTCAATGAATAATGAATATAATTAACTCATTGACTGCCAGCCATTTTCAGAACAGAGTCCCATACCGCCAGAGTTTTTTGAGCATTTTGACTGATTTTTCCAGAGCCACAGAATAGTTTGTGCTATGACTATGTAAACACCAAACACACCAAAAGAAAGAGTAGACTCTCTTCTTTCATCAGGAAAATTTTTTTGTTTCTACCTTATTCCGTTCTTCCTCTACTTGCGTCTCACCGGCGACATGTTCTCTCATAGAACCGTTAGCTTTTTCTTATTTGCCTACAGTCTATGCTCATCTCCCATCAAAAGTGGCACTGCCCCCTAGAGGGTCAATTTGTTACTACATGCTCTGTCTAGAAGCTGATATTTACGGACAAGCTTTAGCAGATCGTCCCCCAGCCATTCTCGTTGAAAAACATAAAAGAAAAGTATTGGCAGCCAATGAGTTAAGAGGATATTTCCATTTTTTACTCGGTTTTTACGGCCTAACGGGCCATTCAGAGGGCTGAACTCTGCCTTTGCTGTTGTGTTTTCAGGCTGTTTGTTGTTCTGATCACATCCACTGCTGTCCTGCACACTCCGAGTGCGACCTGGTCCACAGCACCTGCGTGTCCAGGCAGGGAGACGCCATCGGGCCGCTAACCATCGGGCCGCTCGCCACCATTTCCACCATGCTGCCGCTCAGCAACGGTGAGCCACAGCTCGTTCAGGTTTAAAAACGACGATTTGGAGATTTTTTTGTGGTAAATTTGTGAATTTTTTACCTTCAGTTGTTTAAATTTGTTTATTTTCATCATCTTAAAATCTCTCAATGTTATTTATTTCTCCTGAAGTTCGGTTTTGGGTCGTTTATATGGGGTTAAAACATAAGTTTCCACCTTCTCAGATGAGAGTCCAAGCACTATTTTTTCTGATTTTTTTTTTTTTTTCCTCATATAAAGAAAATGCAAAGATAAAAACACATATATAAATTTCAGATTAATATTTACCCTCAAATTAAAAAGGAATAAGTCTTTGAGAGCTTTATTTATGACCCCTAACATCAGAAAAAGTTTGGCTTCTTCAGGGTGTTTCCTGATTGGCCAGCTTTGAATGAACTATTTAAACTTAAGCCAATCAGTAACTAGAATGATCATCTATACTCTTTGTGTTGAAAAAGTCTTTGGTTTTCATAAAACTGGCTGTAAAACCCTGGACTTTTTGTGTGTTTTTAACCCTTTTTTAAATACAAAGGGTCAAAAAAGGGTTGTGCAAACCGAATTCCCCGAAGCCTTTGTCTGGATCTTGGACGGATAATATTTGAAAAGGAAGCAAATCTTATCGGAGCAGTTTGCGTTCGTGCTGAAACTGAGTTTGTGAGTCTGTTTGCCCTCCAGTTCTGGCCGTTCCCTGTAACGAGTCGGTGGCCTGCGGGGACGGAAACACCTGCTGCCGCTCCTCCAGAGGAGACTGGGCCTGCTGCCCCTTACCGGAGGTACTAACCGATCCCATATCCGGATCCGATCGGCCGCCGATATTTGCAAAAAAAATGCATATTGGCCGGCGGGAGAAGATCCAGATCTAGTTTAAATATTATTGTTATTATTAAAATAATCCATTCCACTTTTCTGTGTTGTTCATTAATATCCAGTCAGGTCATTTTCCAGCACACCCTTAAGCATTAGCATTAGCGTTAGCATCTCCTGACCCACAGCTCTGTGTCCTGACCATTAAGACGGCCATGTTAATGTGAAGCTGTCAGTAAAAATGTCAGTTGTGTGGGATTATTTGATCCCATTTTGTGTTTATCCCAGAATAAACAGGTCAGTGTTATTCATTGTGTGTTATTCAAACTCCCCTAATTCAACTGGCTAGTTATCAGAGTAAATCCCTTGTCTGACAACTAAGTAAGTAAAATAAATAACTTTAAACTTTAATACATACCTGTGCTCTCAGGTCTGTTTGATGCTTTTAAGTAAAAAGTGTAAGATGTGTACGCTTAAAGCTTTATCTGGAGCTGGAACGTCCATTTTGTGTGTTAAACGACTTCTGAAGAAACTTAAATCTTTTTCAGGTTTCACCTCTTGAACAGGAGAAGCTTTTTAGTTTTTTTTCTGCATCTCTGGAATAAATTTAGAGGACTTTCAGTGATGTTTTGGAGAAAATTAGAGCTGATTTTGGAGGAAAAAGGCAGAAAAAGTCATTCTCTGGACTCTGGTCTGGATCAGAGGCTCAGATGTTTGTGTTTTATCCAGAAAAATCTCATTAAATGGAGCCGTTTGTGTCCTTTTAGGTTGTTAGATGGAAGAAAACCAGAGTTAAAAGGAGCTTAAAGCTTTAAACTGGAGCTGGAACTTCAGAAGTGACTTCAATTTCTTTCAGGTTTCACCTGGCTTCTCTTTAACTGGAGAAGCTTTTTAGCTTTTTTTGTCTGCCACTCTGGAACAAAGTTAGACGACTTTGTGTGATAATTGGGAGAAAACTAGAGCTGATTTTGGATGAAATGTGGCTTATTTTGTGCTCTTTTCTGCAGGCCGTGTGCTGCGACGACCACCTGCACTGCTGCCCTCACGGCACCGTCTGCAACATGGCCGCCTCCACCTGCGACGACCCGTCGGGCGCCGCCGTCTCGCCGCTGCTCGCCAAAACGCCGCCGCCGCCCCCGGGGCCCAACAGCAAGTGCGACAAGTCCACGTCCTGCCCCGGGAAAGCCACCTGCTGCCGGACGGAGGGCGGCCAGTGGGCCTGCTGCCCCCTCCCTCAGGTACGGGCCAAATGCCCCCAAACTTCCGGTTTGTCTACTTCCTGTTTCTGTCCACTTCCGGTTTCTGTCTACTTCCTTTTTCTGTCTACTTCCTGTTGTTGTCTACTTCTGGTTTCTGTCCACTTCTGGTTTCTGTCCACTTCCTGTCTTCTTTGTTTTTCTGTCTACTTCCAGTTTCTGTCCACTTCTGGTTTCGGTCCACTTCCTGTCTACTTCCGGTTTCTGTCCACTTCCTGTCTACTTCCTGTTTCTGTCTACTTCCTGTTTCTGTCTACTTCCGGTTTCTGTCTACTTCCTGTTTCTGTCCACTTCCTGTCTACTTCTGGTTTCTGTCCACTCTCTGTCTACTTCCTGTTTCTGTCGATTTCAGGTTTCTGTCCACTTCCTGTCTACTTCCTTTTTCTGTCTACTTCCTTTTTCTGTCTACTTTCTGTTTCTGTCTACTTTCTGTTTCTGTCTACTTTCTGTTTCTGTCTACTTCCTGTTTCTGTCCACTTCCGGTTTCTGACTCTGTCTACTCTGTACCATGACCTCTGACCTCTCTTAAATTTTTGGGGTCTTTCTTTTTATCCTTGTGGTATCGAAAGTGGTATCGAATATTTTCCTGAGTATCTGTATCGAGTTGCAAATTTTAGTATCCCTACTAACGCCCTCTGACGCCGCTCTGTAGCGCGACCTCTAACGACCTCTGACCGGTGCCTGCAGGCCGTGTGCTGTGATGACCACCAGCACTGCTGCCCTCACGGCACCGTCTGCAACCTGGAGGCCGAAACCTGCGACGACCCGTCGGGGGCGCCGCCGCTGCCCTGGCTGCTGAAGGTCCCCGCTGTGACCTTGGGCCGCGCCCTGACCTTGGGCCGCGCCCTGACCTTGGGC